AATGGCACCGGCCCGTCGAGCATGTCGTTAGCCAGCAAGGAGAGATAAGGTCCTATGTCTCAGCCCCCAAATCCCAAACCCTAAACCCTAAACCCCAAAGCCCTAAACCCTAAACCCTAACCCTGAGCAAAGCTTTCGCCTGCAAGCCGGTGGTGCAGGGTTTGCTGGATCAGCACTTAGAAAACGAGCTTGGCTACGCCGCTCGGCAGCCTGAGCGCGTTCCGGGTGGGGGAGTTCAGGCTCTTCTTGGAGGTTCATGTGTAGTTATAAGTGGAGTCACAAGTAGGGTAACTGTAATTATAACCCATATTAGGGGACTTATAACTCCACTTATAACTACCCATGAACCTCCAAGTTGAGCCGTGTAAACTGAGATTCGCCAGGCACTGAATCTAGGTTTCGACACTCTTCGACGTGAGAGGTTTGAGGGTTTTGCCTGAGACGTGTTTTGGCTCTGGAGATGTTTAGATAACTAGACGTGGATGCAATGTGTAACGGCCCTTGACGCTGGAAGCAGGACATGGACAAAATGGGGTGCTTTCCGGTTTGGCTCTGCTCGAGCAAACACAGCTCAGCGCCACCGACTGTATACATTCCAGACTCGTTTTGGTTTCCCGTAACTTTAACCCATAAACATGGAGCTGGCTCAAACCCCCTAAGCCCTAAACCCCTGCCCCGTATGCCACTTCAGCTGCCCAAAACTACCTAAGTCCCAGACCCAAGAGCAGCTTGAAGATGCCTCTGAAGCTTTTTGCGGGCTCTTGTCCCAAAGGGTCCAAGTACCCTTATACTAGGTACTTGAGGTATTCGGGCCCGAAGAGTATGTACTATACTATTAGTTGTTGGACCCTTTGGGTGTGTTCTGCGAACTTGCCGGGCTCCGAGGTGCGCAGCCATTGCATGATCCCTCCCTTCCCCTGGGGGCAGGCCGTCTCGAAGCCTTGCTGTTCATCGGACTGCTTCAAGGGTTTCGGGTTTACTTAGAAATGATTAAACTCTAAGCAACAGCTGAAATTGAATCAGTATAGTTTAGGGAGCAGGCACAGCCCATCTGGCATTGAGCAGTGTCAATGTACACTCAGTCTTCTTCTTGAGGAGGTCTTGGGGTCAGATTATACAGCAGATCTTGCCTCCCTGATCGGAGGGTACCTATTCTTCTCAAGGTCTTCAACCCTAAACCCTTTAAGCTCTAAACCCTAAGACCCTAACACCAAACCCCTAAACCCTAAACCCTAAAGCCCTCGAACCTATAACCCTCAATCCTAAAGCCCGAAAAAAAAGCCTTCAACCCTAAACCCCTAAACGCTAAACCATGGCCTCATGCTCCCAGCAAAGCACCACCTCCAGCACTCGAAGGCAATCTATCACGACTTCCTGGTTGCCAATGCAGGGCTCTCAGGATCCTTCAGTACATTTGGGCGGTTTAGGGTTTAGGGTTTAGAAAATCTTGATGTTTCGGGAGAGGGTTTAGGCTTGCAAAGACGATAATTTTAAGCAGAGGCTCCATAGTAGTTCCTTTTTGTGATTATCTTATAGGGTTCTAAAAATGAGTGGTTGTCAGAATTATGGTCCATTTTTGGGTCCCTATTATAATACGGCCACCTAACATCGAGGGCAGCCAAAAAGGGACCATAATTTTGACAACCACCCATATAGGGGCCTTAATAGAAGTAACAAAAAACAGTTGATGTAATACCAACCGTAACCGTAGCAGAAATAATAATGATAGTAGTAGTAGTAGTAGTAGTAGTAGTAGTAGTAGTAGTAGTAGTAGTAGTAGTAGTAGTAGTAGTAGTAGTAGTAGTAGTAGTAGTAGTAGTAGTAGTACTAGTAGTAGTCGTAGTAGTCGTAGTAGTAGTAGTAGCAGCAGCAGTAGTAGTAGTAGTAGCAGTAGTAGTAGTAGTAGTAGCATCACAAAACCAAACCTTAGAAACTCATAGTGGGAGCGAAAAGATGATAAGAGACCCTGGGCAATAAAGCGGGCGTGGGCTTGCAGCTGGAGCCCTTACCCCTAAACCCGAAAACCTTTATTACAAACCTTAAATGCAGGGTTTAAGAGAGTGCGGAGTTCGTGTTGAGGGATCAAGATCGAAGACCCTGGGTGCTGCCAGCCTTTGCAGCAAGCCTTCACAGGCCGTCTGGCTCAAAAGCCGCACCGTTGAGGTCTGGGGCTTGCTGTAAGGTCGTGAACGTTTAAGGCGACCTCCCACAGCCGGTAGCAGAGCACCGAACTCTCAGCCCACATCTAACCACCGAAGCCTAACATAAATCCGCTAAGAAGCCCTTCGTCCCAGATCTACCCCAGGTGCTTCAGGACAGCATCGTTCCCTGGCATGCACTTGCAGGGCGGCATTATGTACGCACGGCTGAAATAAGCTTTCGGATGCATTGCACGGTTTCGGAATGTCTTGAGGGCAAACAAAAGAGGAGCATGCATTCCCAAATGGTGGGATGAGTATGGGTTCTGGACTTTAAACGGTTCAGTATACGGGCCTGCATCATCGGTAATTGTAGTCATTGGTACTAGTAATAGTAGTCCAGAGGGATAGAGATTAATCCAAGGACCTAAAGAACTACCTATACTATTTAGGGGGCTCCTTACTTCACTTATATTAGAATTGGCCCCAAAACTGCATTTGATTTATTCAGGCCCCTATACTACAGCTATAGTATACCCATCTCAGCACAGCTGCCCATTGCTGGTGACAGAATCGCATCGATTCTGCAGCGAGAGATTCTGCGTTCCGAAATAAAGCCCAAAGGTTGGCCCCGAATCCCGAACCCTCACCAAAAAAAAACTAAACCCTAAAATCCTGAGGACCTAAAAGCCCCCAAGATGCCAAAGGTTCATGATTCATGATACCCTCCCCTAGATGTCAAGTTTTTTGGGATGCTCCTCGCCAACCATGCGCAAGCGCCTTGCTTTCTGATCTTGGGAGAGAGTTTGGGTTAGATAGAGCATGTAGCGCCGGGATGAGAAAGTAGTTGCGCCGGAGTCCGTTGCACACTTTCCAGAGCTGACCCTGTGATCACCAGCAAGCATTCCGTGATGGGTAAAATCATCGTTGTGGTGCTCATGATATTTTTGTCAATTCCATGCAGCAGCCTGCGCTTGGGCAGCCATGCACATCCGCAACCCCCCAATGCTAATCCTCAAACTAACCTTCAACCGTAAAGCTTATACACCTCTAGTTACCACCTTCGGACCATAAAACCAATTGACTTCTGACAATCCCTGAATTGCCATGGAGATAACAGGTTCCGGGTGACCTAGCCGAGTTCGGTATCGGCAAGGGAGGTACTTCAGTGCCTTGGCTTGTTGGATTAATGGCGGGTTCAGGGTTTAGCACTACACAAAGGCCTAGATAGTTGACAATACACTTTTGGGGCTCCTGATTAAAGCTATAGTATAATATGCCCCAAGTGCGGAAACCCTTTTCTAATTATGAAGCTCCAAATCAATGGCCTTCTCGCCCATTGTTTCTGTGCAATCCCGTCTTCGCAGCTGGGTTTTAACAGCGGCGGGCATGAAGCACATCCCTCACTTCTAGGAAATCCCTCCAGACGTCAGGAGCTCCCTCAGCCCTAAACCCCTCTAAACTGTAGATTCTGGGAAAAAGGAGCTCCAAAAAAGACCTCTTTAAGCAAGCTTTGCAGAAGAGGTGGCGCAAGAGTGTCCGGTAGCTCATGCGGGCATCTTCGGATTTCGAGCACGTCGGACTTAGCAGTTGAGGCGTGTAGAGATGCCCGATTTCAAGCCCAAAAGATTTGGATGCATCTGTTTTGCTGACATGTCCACAACGACATTTACAAAATGTGGTAACAGTGCAGGTAAGAGTTTGGGTAACAAGCACACAACTATGTATGTAAGCGGCAAGGATGTATACTTGCATGCAGGGGCGTGTGTATGTATGTATGCTTGCATGCATGGATGGATGGATGGATGCATGATTGTATAGCACGGTTTCCGCACTTTGGGCCTTCAGGGTGCTAACTTGATTGGGTAATTTATAAGCGGGGCATGAAGAACCTCTGCTCCTCATCACGGCGGTGGGAAGCAAAAGGTTTCTCCAGTGGACTTGATTACGCCAAGCTGCTGCTTCGGCAAAGGTGTTTCTCGCCCGGCTTGCCAAGAAGTATGGCCGCAAGTGCCTTGCGGTGGACTCGTTCGAGGCAGTAGTGTATGTGGGATGCCCGTGAGAACAACTTGCAATATGCATCAGTGTTATGGAAGATAGTATAGCCATCAAAGTCGCGATGGTAGCAATCCTGCTGATAAACGCAGCGGCATCATGCTAAACAGTATTATCGTCATGCTCACGATTTCATGTTGATGATCCTCATGTCAGTTCTGTGTACCAATCGAAGCTTCGTCACTGTTTCACCTCTCCGCGTCCCGCCCATCCTCGTTCTGACGATGTTCCCTGTTCATCTTTAGCATCAGCCCCTGGAATTCATCACGGCTAGGCATGAAACCGGTGAGAGTGTTCCTGACATGTTAGCAGCATGCTGCACCACGATTACCAGACCTTCTCGGTTGCAGAAGCTTTGGAAGCCAGCGCTTCTGGATTTGCAGGCGAAAGAACTGCGGATTCCGTTGCTCCACGACTCATTTCATCGGGTGCCTGTTGCCTGACCAGTTGCCGATCCCAGCATTGGCTTGAGGGCTTTTCGACATGCCCTAGACTGTCCGCGAGGTCGTATCGTTCAATCAGCAGGACAGGCACTTTTGGCCTGACAAGATCTGAACCTGTTGTCTGGCCCTGTTTGCCATTCCGCTTTCTTGCTTGACAACTCCAAGCCCAACTCTTCCAATAAGAACACCTCTCATACCATCTTCCCACAGTCCCGAAAGACCAAGACTACGAATGCGGTTCGTAGCCAGATGTTCCGCCATGGTGCAGATCATGTAGGCACCTTGCTGCAGGGGGTTGCTCAGCATCACCCCTGCAGCTTCGTGCCACTCCGGCACGGCAAAGGATCGTGCGATCGTGGCAGGGATGAGTGTGGGGGCAGCTGTCACTGATGAGCGCTGCCGCGCCCTCCGAGTGAAGCTCAACAAGCACTGCTATCATCAGACCCTCAGCGAAGACTCCGTGCTCTTGGTCGAAACGATGTTGAACGACTTGATCGCTTCGGCAGCGGGCCTCGATGATCTGAAGCGCCGGGACAAGGAGGGTACCGAGCGTCTGCAGTCCCTCATCTCCGAGCTCGAGGTGGGTTTGGAGAGCTCCTAACCCTAAACCCCCCAAAGGGTCCGGGTAACCATATGGTATATACTTTGGGGTACTAAGTACCCACTATAATGGTACTTGGACCCTTTGGGCCCTGAACCCTAAACCCTGACGAGGGGAGGGATCTTGCAATTCCGGGGCAGCGTCGTTGCTGAGTTCTGTGAAAGTGCAGGGAACCTACTTGAAGGCTCATGGGACTTAGTAAGCAAGGTTATGAGTAGCTTATAATTAGGGTAACCCCACTTAGGGGACTTATAAGCCCAATTATAACCTACTTACTAAGTCCCATGATCCTTTAAGAACTCTTTGGCATGGCTAGGTCTTCCGCATTGAGAACCCTCGCCTTCAAGCAGAGAACAATGCGCTGCACCTGCAGATCATCGAGTCTGGGGCGAAATAGACTCAACAGCATCTCAAAATCCACATATGACGCTGCAAGTCGCTCAAGAATCTCCCAGGCCAAACCTTAAGCTCTGGAATTTTGAGCGCGAAATAACTCTTGAACTTTGAGCAAGCGAAGCTCCGTCACACGTTAATGTAGCGTCCTGTCCGTCTTCCAGTCAAGCCGTTCAGGATGTTCATCTTCTGTGATACATGAGACCCTGGGATACAGCAGACGCAATGCAGCCGCATGTCTTCGAGGATATCGAAGAGTCCAGAGATGGAAGTATGCAGTTCCTGCTAACCTTGGCAACATGCGTGCGAAAGTCACTACCGTCGCCAGCACCATCACCAGCTTTATCATCTCCATCACCAGCTTCATCATCACCATCATCAGCGGCATCATCATCATCATCCCGGCCATCAGCGCCATGACCATAGTCGTCAGTTTTCATAATCGTAGAGTACCGTTTAGCAATCACCAACAGAATTACCGACATCACAAAGGAGTCGGACGAGGCCGCTGAGACATGGGAGGACTCCATCCGCACTGCCGTGCGGAAGCTGGAGGATGCCAGGCATGATTGAAACTCATGGGGTTTGGGTTTTAGGGTTTAGGGTCTTGGCGGAGAACTCCAAGGGATCTTTCCGTCGGGCTTAATAGCAGGCACTGGCGGAGTTTCCGTTTCCCTTCCGAATTTGCACACCAGTTCAGGCATTCCAGGATCTCTCACGGAACCCTTGTTGCGACTAGCAGACGAGCGCCCGAACATGTGCTTGGTAGAATCCCGGCACTGTCGAAAGTATACGCGTAAATGTCTAAGATGCAACTGTCGGAACATGCAGATTACTGATTATTGTGTTTTGTCTGAATGAGGTGGGTCTTTCGGCAATTGTTGAGATGAATTTCGCTTCTCTTCATGGGATGCCTTGGAGTTTGGATTCCCAGATCCTCTAACTCGAAATCCTCCAACTCTGCTTGGCCTTGGTTTCGATGCCTCTCTCTAAAACCTCAAATCTTCCACCAGAGAGGTTTCACTTTAGTTTGTTGTCGACCGTGTTGGCCGAGGACGAGATCGATGCTGTCAAACTGACGCTGCAGAAGGACTGAAAACAGAATCCTGTGTGGTGTGGTGGGGAGGGGGAAGGGGGCTTCTGCAAATGTTATGTATACATATATCAAAAATCTTTCTGGATAGCAACACAAGTAGCAGCAGCAGCAGAAGCGGTAGGAGGAGTAGCAGTAGTAGCAATAGTAGCCCCAGCAGTAGCAGCAGGAGTAGTCGTAGTAGTAGTAGTAGTAGTAGTAGTAGTAGTAGTAGTAGTAGTAGTAGTAGTAGTACTGTTGATGCCCAAAATCCTGCATGACCTACAGCATCACACATATGTGATGTCGCGCTGTCAACTTCCCCGCAGCCCCTGAATTTCAATGTTGCATCACCCTGGGGTCATGCAGGATTTTGGGCATTCGCGCAAACGCTTTTTCTGGACTCTGTGTCAGTGCAATATTAGAATTGGCGGTAGCAGGGGAGCCGTGGGGAAGTTAAAACCGATGCAGGATTTAGGGCATCAACCGTCCAAGACGACTGTCTACTTTGGCAAACGTTGCGACATGTGTGTGCGTGTGAAGTGAGACATCGCCTGTGCTGGCGATATAGACTGCGTCTGAAACATCTGCTTGTGTAGGTACAGTTATCTGGTATGTGCAGCGTTGGTGTGCTAGTGCCTTTGACTACCAGAAGGCCTATGGCCTTGATCCGGGACCTGCGGGACAGACTCTGAACGTCATGGACATTCAATCCAAGTCCACACTCAAGAGAGCCATCAAGGAGCGTTTTGGGCGGGAAAAGCCCACGACGAAACCTCATGTCGAGCCATGGAGGAGCGCTTTTTGTGGGAAATGTCTATTTACAAACCTCAATTCGCTGCTTGGAGGAGCGTTTTGTGTGGGAAATTCCTATTTACAAACCTCATGCCGAGGCATGGAGGAGCGTTTTGTGTGGAAAATTCCTATTTACAAACTCAACTCGCTGCTTTGAGGAGCGTTCTGTGTGGGAAATTTCTATTTACAAACTCAGGTGGCTGCATTTTCCCTATTTACAAACTATTTACAAACCTCTTTACAAACCTATTTACAAACCTCACTCTAAAGGGGAAAGGCATTTTTCAGGTGCGGGCCTTGGAATTCCAAACCTCGAAGGAAGGATTTCTAACCGTGGATCGCTCGCCCCAAAAAATGCTTTTCCCTTGAGAGTGAGGTTTGTAAATAGGTTTGTAAATAGTTTGTAAATTGGGAAAATGCAGCCACCTGACTCCTCTAAGCAGCGAGTTGAGTTTGTAAATAGGAATATCCCACACAAAACGCTCCTCCATGCCTCGGCATGAGGTTTGTAAATAGGAATTTCCCACACAAAACGCTCCGCCAAGCAGCGAATTGAGGTTTGTAAATAGACATTTCCCACAAAAAGCGCTCCTCCATGGCTCGACATGAGGTTTCGTCGTGGGCTTTGCACGCCCAAAACGCTCCTTGATCGGTTTACATGCTACCAGGATGACACATTGCAATGTCAAGCTTGAGGCTGTTGTATACACTGCCGCAGCTGACAATCCGTACGTCGTAGTAGTAGTAGTAGTAGTAGTAGTAGTAGTAGTACTACTACTAGTAGTAGTAGTAGTAGTAGTAGTAGTAGTAGTAGTAGTAGTACTAGTAGTAGTAGTAGTAGTAGTAGTAGTAGTAGTAGTAGTAGTAGTAGTAGTAGTAGTAGTAGTAGTGGTAGTGGTAGTGGTAGTGGTAGTGGTATTATTATTATTAGTAGTAGTAGTAGTAGTAACAGTAGTAGTAGTAGTAGCAGGGGTATATAGTCCCAGGAGTAGTAGCAGTAGTAGCAGTAGCAGTAGCAGTAGTAGTAGTAGTAGTAGTAGTAGTAGTAGTAGCAGAAGTAGTAGAAGTAGTAGTGGTGGTAGTTGCAGCGGCAGTAGCAGTAGTAACAGTAATAAAAGTAGAAGTTCATGAAGTGGTAGAACTAGAGACATAACCGAAAGTATCAGTAGCAGTAGCGACAGAAATCTTAGTAGCGACAGAAGCCATTTCAAGAAATGGTAATAGTCGAACACACCCTTAGTGCTCGTGAAAATTCTGATGTAATTCGTTGCAAATCGATACTGGCGAGGCTCAGGCTTTCAAGTTATGACCTGCCGTGACTTGAAGGGTCTTGGGACACCCTGAAACCCAGAGACTCCAACTTCCTTTAAAACTTTAATTACGGCATCTTCCTTAAGTCATATTCAGGATCCTACTATTTAAAGTGATTTCCTTAATTAAGGGATGTTGGAGTCTCTTGAAACTGCGGGGCCACTGCGGCGGATCAGGATTTCAGGATCAAAGGGCGAACATCGGAGTTTGCTACCTAGAGGCTCCTAGTGCTTGTCTGTGGTTCATATATAGAATCCTATGTGGTGATCCCAAAAAAGAACTACTATGGAGCCTATGGGTAGTGCTAACGTGACAACGTGGTAATTTGCTATTTGTTACTGCTAAAGCACTTCGAGCGGTAGTTTTCGGAGGGACGATCCGTCGCCAGGAGGGACGCAAGCTGGCTCGCAGAGAGCATGAGTTTTACAACCTGCAGGCTCGGGAGAAAAACCGTATTTCGTCACAGCGCCCGTGTATAATACATAATTCATCATACGCATACACCAAGCCCCATTCCATCTCTAATAGGCCCCTGTACCAGGCGGCTGCTATAGATTTCGTACCCTGTCATGACGAACATCCTTGAATCATGTGATCATGTCGTGAACTGGGTTGTCGCATGTTGGCTACAATCAGTTTGGCCACCTCCGTCCTGCAAGTAGTGCAGAAAACTAGTGTAGTGTAGTCATGCCAGAGTTGTACTCGTCATCATGGTATGGAAGGATGCATGTCGAATTCCATCGAATTCGTAGCGTTTTCCAATCTGATCATTGTGCCCATGGCGGTATCGTCTTGAACCCCTCTTGAAAACAGGCCGAAGTCGCTTCACAAGATCATCTGGAGGAGCGTGTCCAAGGGAGCCAACGTGAGACGTGTGAGGGGTGGGTGTCTGAAGAAGTTCGGTTGCTGCCAGACCTTTGAATGTTGCTGTTGGTTGTCTGAGTCTTCAAGAGGGTTATCAACAATATTCCTCGGATGGGGTTTCGCGGTTCTGAGTAGAGGGCTTCGCGGCGGTGATGAGGCCCTTAACCCTGATGCTAGAGGCACTCAATCTCTAGCTCGGGATCCTGCAATCCTAGGTCAGGCTTCCGGGAGTAGGATGTAGCCTTCACAGGAGTTCGAGCATTCGATGTATGCTTGAACGTCTAGGGTTGGTTTCTTAAATAGGAGATCCCTGGCTCATCTTATGGAGTTTGGAAGGGTTCAGGGTTCCCAGCGCCCCTGGGTTTAGGGTTTAGGGTGTATGGTTTAGGGTTTAGGGTGTTCCCTATGATTTTGAAGCAGCAAACGTCACGAAAACACTCCTCGCCGATGGAGGATTGTACAGACCGCCCCAGCCTTCGTGCGCCGGGACGGGCGACCATGCCTCTCGATGCGGACCCACTGCAGCCTGCTGCACATGGATTTTTCGTACAGTTTAAAAGGGTATCCTGTGTTTTGGCGGCTGAACAAAAACATCACCTTCGGAACATGTTTAGAGGGGTTCTGAAAAATACAACGCCAAAGCCTGAAGCCTTAAACGCTAACACGGGGTTCCGATGACCAAGACGTAGACACAGGGCTTGCGGTGCCGTTGCGCCTTCTGGAGCATCATCCACGACTCCTCAAGCCCAAAGCCTCCTGATCCCCACAATCCCTGCAACCCTGCACTCGCAAACCTCGAAGCACAGCTGATCCCTAGACCTAGATTGGGCTTAGGACCCTCAAGTCTCAAATCCCATAGACCTGGAGAGCTGCAGCCTTTAGTTCTAAACCCTGATCCTCTAAACTCGACGCTCGCATGCCGAAACCCATAGTGCTGGGATTGCCTATACATTACTCTTAAGGATTGAGGCTATTGGGTTTCCAACTTTTAGGCTTCTACTGTAACTTAACCCAGGTTGGCAAAGGAGGAGAGCCTCACTGAGTCACTCCAGCTCTGCAAAAACAAGGCCGGGGTTTAGGGTTTAGGGTGAGAGAAATCATTGGCTGGCTAATCCCTAGTTGCAACGCGAGTGTCGGTGTGACTCTGTTCTGAGTGTCGTAATTGCAGCTGTTGAACATTATTGTTCTGTCTCTGAGAGCTTATTTATGGCTTGGGATAGGGTTTGAGCTTAGGGCCTCAGGACTAGGATTTGAGAGTTGAGGTTGAGGGGTTTCGGGTTAGGCTCTTGAGTGCATCTAAAGGTTTGGGCTCAAAGAGCTCACGGCGCTCCTGGATGTGCAAACCAAGAGCCAAGAGCCAGCTCTTTCTTTTTCCTTCTACTTTGTTATAGTTGGATAACATTTTACATGTTTGTGGTTCCTGAAATTCAGTATAAGGAATAGAAGTTCAAATCTTCAATCCCAAAGGGTCCGAGCAACCATATAGTATATACTTTGGGGTACTAAGTACCGACTATAATGGTACTTGGACCTTTGGGAATACGACCCGATCAAATAACTACGTAGTCTACTTAAAGGATCATGGTACTTAGTAACTAGGGTTATAATTAGGGTAACTATACTTATAACTACTTATAACCCCAATTAAGGTACTTATAACCTACTTACTAAGTCCCATGATCCTCCAAGTAGTCTGCCCGACACATCGGGGACTCAGAGCCTCACTGGCTGCTGTCGCGACTCGAGGTCGGGGAGAGTCTTCACGTGGGATCCAAGCCCCAAATTTTCATAGGCCCATATTATAGTATGTACATATATATATATATATATATACGTATCTATATATATATATATGTATGTATGTATGTCTATACAGTATCTAGGTGCTTAAGTTCCAAAGTACTAGATGGGTACGTGCAACCTTAAATGCTACACCCTACATCGCCCCTCCAAAAGGAACCCTTCTAGCAAGCCTTAAGGCCTAGGAAGCCTTCTAGGAGCCCTTAAAGGTACATGGGCCCAGAGGGAAGTCCTGAACCCTTAAACCTAAACCCTAAACCCTGAACCCTTAACCCTTAACCTTTAACCCTTAACCTTTAACCCTTAACCCTTAACCTTTAACCTTTAAGTCTGGCCACAGGTCCTGGATGTGGAGTCGCAGATCGCTCGAGCTGCTGCTTGACCTGCGAGGGCATGGTAGGTGTCAAAGGGATCCTTTAAAGGTTCCTTAAAGGGATCTACAGGGGTTCTATAAAGCGTTTAGGGTTGATGAGTTTCCGAAAACTAGGGCCAGAGGTGTCAAAGTAGGGTTTAGGGTTTCCCGTGAGCCATAGCTAATATAGAGGGTTTAGGGTTTGGGGGGGCCAGTAAATCGTGGTGGTAACTCATGAGCCATAGGTAATATAGGGTTTAGGGTTTGGGGTGTGAGTGATTGGTAGTGGTACCTCATGAGCCGTGGGTGATACAGGGGCCTTAATACTTAGACTGTTGTGTTGGGATAGATTCTACCGGAAGTATAATAAGGAAGCCCGAAACAGTATTGGTAATTATTAGGGGCCCCCATATTGTGTAGCATCGTCCTGTTGGTGGGTGCTAAACCCGGAACACGCTGATAACCTGTATCATGCAGACTCCCTTCACACTTGAGAGCCTGTTCTCCTGGCATTTTTTGAGGTGATGCGTGCCAGGGAGCAGTCCTCAGATGCCAACGACATCTGCGAAGAGCTGTGCCGAAAGGACGGCGGAAGAGGATGAGATTTGTGATTTCTGGTATGTACGGCATTTCCAGATTTTGCAAAGGGCATTGCTTTCCCTTATTTTCTAATGTAGGGACCTCAATTTTGAGGGCTCCTTATTGTAATTATCGTATAATAGTCTCCCAGACCCTATTCTAATTATGAAGGCCCTTGTAGTACAGAACCCTGAAGTAGATCCCTTATAGACCCCCTTGCAGGATCCCTTTAAAGGGAACCCTATTCTAATCATTCAGGCCCCTACCATTAGCGGTGAACGCTCCTACAGTCGAAGGGCCTTCCTTCTGTTGATGATATACGTCCTGCACTACCTTAAGGATCCTAAACTATGGGAATTATGGTATATAGATCCCTTTAAGGAACCCTAAGATCCCTTTAAAGATCCCGTTAAGGACCCCTATATCATCAACCGTTCCAGGACCCTGGGCCCGCCTTTGTGCGGCAGAAGGTCCGGGGCTCTTGAAAGACTTTTTGGGAACCCTACCTTAACCCAAATAAGCTACCTTGTTGAAGACTTATATAAGGAAACCATAACAAGGAACCCAAAAATGTAAGTTTGCTAGGGTCCAGGTAAAGCTAAAACCGTTTCCGCCCAAGGTCTCACTGGTGTTCGAACGCTTCACTTCTAACTTTTGACAGTGCCGTGCGAGTTATCTGAATGCTCTTGGATTTTTACTAGCTCTTTCAATGGTCGGGGTCTATGATGGCATGTTACTGCTACTATCGGAATCTTCTTTGTGGAACATCTTGCAGCGTTGGTTCTGCAGCTGTGGACAGGCAAACGAGTAGCTTTTCGTGGACGATTTATAATTCGCAGCAGCAAGAAAGTTTCTGTGCAGGGAGATGATGAGGATGATGCATGTAGATTCGTGCCTCATGTCATTTCGGTGTTCTACACGGCACTTTCATGCATGTGCAGCGAGCTTCCAGAAATCCACTGTGTTGCAGTGAAGATGATTCAGGTCGTGCAAGCCAGTCTTCAAGCCTCAGTAGCAGACCTGCGAGCAACCTCCGCAGAACGCTTTCAGAGGAGGCGCCTTCAGAAGCATCATCACAAGATCGTTATTCGGGGCAGCTCCAGGGCGGGGTCCTAGGGCGCGGTCCTAGGAACGATGAGGTTTGCAGGGTTTAGGCTTGTAGCAGTTAATGAGTTTAGGGCCATGGGTTTCTAGTGTTTATGTGGTACAGTCTTCTCAGCATTGCTGATAGGAAGAGGATCAGTGTGGCATGCATGAGAGAAACACAGCAAAGGTTGTTGCAGATGCTAGATACGGTGTAAGGTTCGGCGATGGCACTGGGCAGGCCACCCAACTCGTCGTTTTACTACAGCAGTCCCTGCCCAGCTACCCTTGCTCTGCTCGGACTACTTAAAAACACCGAGATTGAAGCAAAGGCTTGAAACCCTAAACCCCAAACCCCACGAAAGCACTGAAGCTTAAGCACAGGATGAGCACTTCACAGGCCTTCCTACTTGTCACTGTTGTACTCAGACTCGCAGCAATGTGTGAGACACTGCGGCTCAGCCGGCAAAAGGAAGGTGTACAACCCAAGCCCAAGCAACAGTTGCGAGATAAAAGCCCCTGGCCGAATCCCTTGAACACCCAAGCCCTGGCATGCTTGAACCCCTTTTCAACACTAAACCTCTCTGCCACCAAAACCTGACGGGTTTAGGATGATTCAGGGTTTTGGGTTTAGAGTTTACGGTTTTTGTAGTCTGGTCATCGGGTCCCCTCCTTGACCCTCCCAAAGCCCATGGGAAGGATGGAGTTGGAGATGCAACAATCTGCATTGCAGGAGAGGTTCTACAGCTCTACAGATGCGCGTTAAGATGTCGTGCGCATTATGCATGTGAGAATATATATATATATAGAGAGAGAGAGAGAGAGAGAGATATAGATATATGTCTAAATATACATACATGCATACATACATGTAGCTAATTGTTTGTTTGTGTATTTGTTTAGCATTTCTAGCTAAGTGCTCCGAGCACATACATGACGATTCGGTATGTGTACATGGACCTGCACATATATGTTCATACACGAGCACACGTCCGAGCCTGTCTTCATAATCACATACGTCCACTGATAGACATAAATAAGTACACGGATGCATACAGTGTATATATATATACATACACACAAATCGAAACGGCTAGGTACTAGATATTTACATACATACGTACATACATACATATATATATATATATATATATGTATGTGTATATATGTATATATGTTTGTATGTTTGTATGTGTGTGTATGTTTATATGTGTATATGTACATATGTATGCATGTATGTATGTATGTATGTATGCATACATACATACATATATATATATATATATATATGTATCTGTATATGTATATGTATATAAAGATATGTAGATATGTACATTTGTATATATGTACATATGTATAGATGCATGTGTATGTGTGTATATCTGTACATATGACGGTACACCTATCTATCTATCTATATATATATATATACATGTTTACATGTATGTGTATACGTATGTGTCTGTACGTGCACATGCTTATTACCTTGTTTATGTGCATTTCTGCATTTTCAGAAAGTTTTCAGGATCGGAAACTTCTCAGTGAGAGCTGCTGCATGGATTATTGGGTTTGGTGCCTTCTGGGCGGAGCTGAGGCAATCAGGCTCCGTAGTCACGATGGAAATCCAAGTTTTCCGTAGCAGTAGCACCTGACAGAAACGGTGGCAATCACACTAAATGTTTCGAGCAGGTTGAAAGTTTTGAGGCTCCCGGAGTTTAGGTTGCTTTACAAGGGGAGTCACAATCGAACGAAGATCCTAGGGTGTGGGCTTTTCCTCGTAACGGCTCGTTCCCTGGCCGATTCTCGGTCTGGACAACGAAAAAAATTGTTTTGCTGAAGTTGCTGACTAGCCTGCCTCATCCTCATCGATCGTCGTAGCAACAGAAACAGCACAAGCCGTTGAAGGATAAATGTGGCGGTATTGGTGACAAAAGTGGTAGAAGTAGCAGAAGCAGCTGCAGCAGCAGCACCACCAGCAGGCGGTAGCACCAGCAGGAAAAACAGCGGCAGCAGCAGCAGACTGGGTTTTGTCATTTCATTTGATTAGGCTCATATTTTCCAGCGTGGTCATCACCCTCATCTTTTATGGTTTTTATAACCCGTATAGTATAGTTATGGGCACCTTGTACTGACCTTTGGAGTACGCGTTTACAGAGCCTTTCTAGCAACGTTTACCTTATAGCAACGTTTACCGAACAGATCTTTATGAATCCTGTCTGTAGAGGTTTTTTTCTGGCCCTTCCTTCCAGAACATCTCTAGAGCACGCAAAAAGTAGCCCTTAATATGGTGCGTATCCGTTCTACCATGGTAAGGGAGCCCTCGCAGAAACGTCATAGTTAGTAGGTAATTAGTACCCGTGTGCAACCATACCCCAAAGGGTCCAAGTATCGTTCTGGCATATACTTGTAGGGTATTTTGGGGTCTAAGTATATACCATCATGATACTTGGACCCTTTGGGTACAGTACAGGAGAAGGTTGGGATCATGGAAACGAACGCCTCGGAGCTGTTGGAAGAGGAGGCCTCCGCCCAGCGAGAGGAGGCGAAGGCGCGAGGGTTCTGTAAGAGTTCTACGAAGGCATGATTACCTGGACCTACTAAACCCTATTTTTTGTAGGTTCTTATGATAAATCCTAATGTGAGGTGTAATTATAGGGACCCTACGAAAAAGTAGGTTCTGGTAGGTTAAGGTAGGCTTCTATCAGGTTTCTATTCGGGGGGGTGTCAGGACTTGGTTCAGGATCCTAGGGGTCTGATATGGGGCGGAGGCGAGGCGTTCATTCGTAGAACAATAGGACAGGGTTGTGGTTAGAGTACAGCTACTTGGGCTTTGTCATCGAACCAGTTATTCCGATCTCTGCAAGTTTAAGGCTGGCTGGCGCTGTGTGTCGTTGCACGATGCGCTTGGCTAGTATTCGGGAGCATGCGCCATTGAGAGCCTCACTTGTTGCCAGAAGTGGCTGCAATGAGGCATGGGATGACGGGTGGGGGTCGAAAATCTTTGTGCTGATAGGTATAGCATTTCTCTGAGACGAACTGCAGCCTTAACGGTTCACTTTTTTTGAGCGCGAAGCATTTGATTGTGTGGAGGTTGCGGCCAGAGCATCGGAGATGCCGAAGCCCCAGATCGGCTACAAGACTTTACACGAATGTCTCAGCACAGAATGGACAAGTGGCTGCACGTCGTTACTGTTTGGGGCCTCTATAGTGTCATCATGACCGGTTCGAGCTTTCTGATATCGAATTTTCGACGCGATTCTACAGGGATTGGCGGCGACCTTCGATGTCGCAGCTCCGGTGGGAGGCGGGGAAGGTGGATGAAGGAGGTGCGGTGGAAGGTGAGGCGAGTCGGGAAAGTGGGAGGCAGGAGGCAGGTAACGATCGATCCGATCCGATCGTGTACCCGATGGGATGCCGGTGTTGCGCAGGGTTGGCTTGGCGTGTATTTCATTCTGAAGTATGTGACTCTGTATCCTTGATACATCAAGCCCTGGTTCTCTGAGAAACAGTCATCCCATCACGATCCATGGTCGTAAGCAGTTCGAGTTGCCCAGAACAGGTGTAACGGCCCAGTTAGACACTGACTAATCCCTGAACCATAAACCAGCAGTCGACGCTGAATTGCAGCATGCAGGAGTCGATTGTAGCCAGCAAGAGGAGCAAGGCGAATGGAGACCGGTCGAACCGTCCGACCTATTGCAAGTTTCTGCCATCTTTTCGGGAAGTGTGGATAATAGCGGAAGTAGCCGCTTAGATGCATGGCTTCGCTGATCCTAGTGATGGCAGCGACAAGAGGGAACACGAGCCGGTCGCTCGGTGACCCTCAACCTCTAATCTGCCTTTGCTCATTAAGCCGTAGGAAAATTCTTCCCGAAATCCCAAAGCTGTTGCATAACGACTGTACTTCTAGTGGCCGTTGGCCCTTGTCTACCTATCTATGTTATTGTCGACCGATCTATATGTGAAATGAGCTATCTGTCCATCTATTTACCTCAACCTTTTTCTATGTATCTATCTACCATCTAGCTGCTTCTCTACCTACCTACCCGCTTATCTATCTGTCCCCCTAGGCCCTAGCTATCTATCTATTTGTCTGTCTCTCTATCTATCTATCTACATATCTACCTATATATGTCTATCCGTCCATCTTACCAACGATCCAGCTTTCACTCCTGCGCCGAGTCACGCGCGAAACCGGGTCGACGCCGAGAAGCAGCGGCGTGAAGTCGAGCAGACGGAGGCCGGTTTCAGCGACTTTCTTAGGTGGGATTTAAGGGCTTTGGGTTTCGGGAATGTGCGGTCAGAGTCTGTGGTTTCAGGGTTCAGGACAAGAGATCATTTGATCAATGCCCAGCCCCATGCTCTCAAAAGTTCCTTTTCGCATCCCACATCAGAACCTTTGTTGGTGCCTAGCAGTTTCCCTGCCGTGTAGCACTACGTTCATCGACTCTTCCGTGGCAGTCTTAGTCTCTCCGTCTGCACGTTTTGCGTTTGCATCGGCAGGCTTCTTATAGTCCCAAAGGGCCCTAGGTATTGTTATACTTGCAACTCCTAATGTAGCCTTTAAACCCTACATTGCCCTACATTCTACTATGCAGGTACTTTGGACCCTTTGGGAGTACCGTGCAAGAGAAAGAAGGATTTTAGAGTGTAGCCGGGAGGATCCCTGGTTTTGTGGCTTTGGAGGGTAGGGTTTAGGGTTTAGGGTTCAGGGGTTCGATTTGGTTTCTACGGAGCAGAGTCTCGGTTTCGAAAGGGTTGGGAGTGGATCACTCAAGATATCATTTTCAGGAGCTTGACTTCCCGCTCCCCCTAAACCCTAAACCCCCCTAAACCCCCTAAACCCTATAAACCCTAAGTGTGATCTTTGTTGCAGTTTCGGAAGCCTAGATTGAGGCTTCGGGTAGAAAGGGTTCATCGTCTGTCGGGCAGTACAACAGTAATATACCCCTTAACCCTAAACCCCCTCAACCCCCAGTCTAAACATTAGTGCAGGAAAAGCTTACCTTTGGTTAGTAGGGAATTAAAGAATGGAAGTAATAGTGGTTATACTTGTACCCCCATTCCTCCGTTCCCTACTAGCCAAAGGTAAGAAAGGGGGTCAAGCCATGTCCGAATCGGTCTCGCAGGAGGAGACTGCAGTCATCAGGCAGGTGTGCGCACGACTGGAGAGCCGCGATCCAAGTGAAGTGTGAGGAGTGCTCGAGCTCAGGGACTCCATTACTTGGAGGATCATGGGACTTAGTAAGTATGGTTATAAGTACCTTAATTGGGATTATATGTAATTTTAAGTATAGTTACCTTAATTATAACCCTAGTTACTAAGTCCCATGATCCTCTAAGTACCCCGTACTTAAGCTTCAGTGTGTAAAGGGTTCGTTCATGTGCGTTTCCGAGTGTACTGACGAGAGGCTTTCATCATTGGGCGGAGGGTTTGCATCCTGGGAAACTTGGTATGGCAGACCTCATAGAGCTCTACTGTAACATCTGTGGCAGTGTGTGCATGCTTCAGAGATGATGGGTTTTCTCGGCTTCAGGTTCAAAACCAAGAATCTGAAAACAGACGATCAAGCTAGGGGTGTACGGTTCAAATGTCCTGTCTGAGGGTTCAGCAGATCCATGGTCGAGGCATGCAGCGGTTTAGGATTTAGGGTTTAGAATTTAGGGCCACAAATGCGGGAATGATAACAGACTCTCGGCCGTGAGTTTGTTGTTGATGGTACGATCGCAGCATAACCTATTCGAGTGCTACAGAATGCTTAATGTATGAGTTTGTTATAATGTAGTAGTACGATGATCTTGCATCTTGCATCAAATAGCTTGACATAATGCACAGATAATTTTGGTTGTGCAAAAGTTGTCCATCAGCAGGATACTGAATACAAAAACTCCCATGTCGCCACCTAGTAAACAAGTAAGCCGATGCGTAAACAAGTAGGCAAAAACACATCCGTTCAAACATACATGCCAATATGATTTTGCATACATGCATACACAGCTAAACACAAACACCGAGACAGACACCAAGCCAGCGACAGAGACTGCGAAGAGACAGAGGAGACAGGTAGACACTCATACATATCTAATTGCACATATATATATATATATATATATATATATATTATATACACATGTGCACACACATGTGTATACATTTTTCATACATGTAAAATTGCACCTCTTCAGCCATACTCATGGTTCAGACGAAGATTCCAACTGGTCAAGTTGCCCCTGAGTCCTTTTCAAACAAGGATGCCCATGCAAAGCCTCTTACTGGATTTTGAAGGCCAGCATAATGTAGGGGCCCTAGACATTAGAATAGGGTTTTGGGGCCAATGACACTATACCTATAATAAGGACCCCCCCAAAAAAATAGTATCGGTAATTATTTAGTCCCCTATAGTACAGACTTCAAGCATTGCGCACCCTGAACCCTACGCACTAAGCCCTGCCCTAGGGCTCCAGTTACCTAAATAGTAGGAGAGGGTTAGTAACTGCGCCATCACGAGCATGGAGTGGCATGTGGGTTTGTTCATGGCAGTGGCATTCCTGGTGCAGCTTGCGGTAGCTGTCAAGCTGGCTTCCGATGCCGCCGCGAGCAAGGGTAAGATCAAGAAGTGGCTGATGCAGTGCCGAAGCTGTCTTGCTGGCGTCTTCCCGAAGCAAGGTGCACAAGAACTCATATTGTGGAACGAAGTCATGCGGATTCACATCCAGCTTTCCCACCGGAGTATGTTCTTTCTGCTTTTTGCCGGATGCAGTTTGATCACAGCAGCGCAGGTGTTTTTCCTCTCGGGATTAGACCCAGCAACGTTCTGGCTGTCTACGCCACAGTTGTGGACAGGTACCTTCGGCCTTTTGGCCGTGTACTTGTTCCTGGGTTCTTGTTAAGAAATTTACGTTGCCTTAGTAAGGAATATGTAAGATGTACCACAGATCCTATTAATATTGTTACTTAAACTAACTTCCGTAACCAGAACCCAGGTTCACATTCGTGCCAGTCCGCTTCCAGTCCTACTCCGTCCATGCTTTCTACCTCATGTTGAACTCCCTGGCGCTGATAATGCTTCTGCCGTCCCATTGCCCGAGGGACCAGCTTATTCGGAATTCGATGACGCAGTTTATCATATTCCGCGTGCCCTCCATTTTGTTGACTCCTCGAACACTGCTGGTGCTAGTTGTGGGCTGCGGATACCTTATGATGTCGCTCCTGCGATTTACGCTGGAGCCCATTCCCGAAACCAGCGGCTGCGCGGTTGACGAGCAGTTCTTGGTGAGAATGGAAGTGTACATGTTGCTTGCTACGACTTTCCTATCCTTCATGGTGAAGGCAATGGTGAAACGGAAGGTGGAGCTCAGTGTGGACAGCAGCAACCTAGCGAAACAACTCAGCGCTGCATCCTCCTTGCTGAAGCTCACCTGCGACGCCGTACTTGAGCTGGATGACAACCTGCGGCTCACAGATCACTCCCCCGAGTTGTCCGCCTTGCTTTTGCACCGACCAGGCTCCTGCATGAAAGGCAAACAGCTGACAGACTTCATGAAGCCAGATGATGCTACCCGCGCCACGCAAATCCTGGCTGCCGGTCCATCTGGCCATGAGAACCAGATCTCCGCTCATGCCTTTCACACACGACTTGTGGATAGCTGCTCAAGTAAGCTCTGCGCAGAGGTTTTTCAAGTGAAATACACTAAGCACGACGGCAAGGAGTATAGCTTGCTGGGTCTTCGTGACTTTACAGATGTCCAACCTCTCTCTGGAGGCAACGCCGTGGATGCCCTCGAGCCAACTTCCAGCAGAGACTAGGTTCTTGTTAAGGGGTTTCATTTGAGTTACCATACTACGGATCTACAGTGAATAATATGGTTTCTTTATTATGGTAGGTTAGATTGAATCCCTTAACCCCTAAACCCTTCTAGAACCCTTAACGGGACCCTAAATTACACCACCGGGCCGAAAGTTTCGACATGCAGCTTATAACATACATGTCTGCCGCGGAGAGGCGGAGAGCCCCAAGACCCATTTTACGTGGCCAGCGTGGCGGAGTAATTACTTTCCGGGAATAAATTTATACTATACTATATAGTTTCCGGCGGAGAGCTTTGCGGGGTTCTGCTAGGATTCTACGCGGGAAAAGGGGTCAACATGTGATGATCTCTCAAGTTCATGTTGTATGGCGAACTTTCGTCCTGCGGTAGCGGGCATTCCGGGTCTTGCAGTCCTGGTCTGCGCGAGAAAAAGCGGAGACAGGATGGACTAATTAGGCTTTAGCCATGCCGCCCTGGCGTGCAACGACATCCTGGCAGGTTCTTCGAAAACCGCCGGCAACGCGTGCTGCCACATCCTGGGCTGTCTTGGACGCCAGGATGTTTCGCACCCGCGCTTGGAACGCTGTCTTCCCGATTGGCGGCCGCCGCTTCCTTAGATCTTCACGGTCCTTCTGCCGGATGCGTCTCCGCAACCATGCCCACATCTTCTCAACAGGGTTGAGGTCAGGAGATGAGGCAGGCATGCGCCACGCAGAAATTCCTTCCGCTGCCATCGCACTGCGCGATGCAGCGGTGTGAAGAAACTTCTCGTTGTCGCATAGGACCTTCCATGGACCATGCTTCTTGATCGGACCCAGGGCTTGGATGGCCCGCCTCAGGCGACCAGCGCGCACGATGCGACACCACTCTGCAGCGCTGAGCTTGCGAGTGGCGTGGCATGTCACGATAGCAAATCCTCCTGCAGACAGTCCACCCCAGAGCAGTAGGACACGGTCCAAGGGAACCTGCTGCAGGTAAGGATTCTGCCCAGCCAAGCCCTCGGTGTAAGCCTCGCCGCGTCGCCGCCACATGTGTGTTTCGCCTTGGGCGATGTAGTTGTGACGGTCGGTCGCGTTCTTGGGTGGCACGGAGAGATGGCGAAGGACAGCTTCTCGCGGAGCTGCGCCTTCGTCAAGCGCAAGACGGTTTGCGCAAAGCGTAGGCGTTCCAGCTTGTGTTTGGCGGTGTACTTCCGCTTCTGTGCGCGAGGGAGCCAATGGTATCCATGCTTTCGCAGGACTTTTCGCACTGTGGACTCGTCCAGGTCCACCTGTTTGGCACTGAGCACCTCTCTGCGCAGTGTCGCAGCCGTGCAAGCAGACACCATGCGCAAGGCGAGCAGGCGGCGGATGAGGAACTTCTCCACAGCCGCAGAGACATTGAAGGGCTTGCGGCCACAGTTGTCGTACTGGTACTTCCTGTGCCCAGCCCGTTTGTTGAAGGCCTTATGCACGCGCTGCACGAGCGACAGACTCGGAGCCTCACCTTGCAGGTTTACCACGCGTCGGCAGATGTCCGCCCACTCGCAGCCATGAACATCACGCAAGTGCAAGACCTTGCGCTCGTTCGCAAAGTCCAGCGACTTGGGATGTCGCACTTCGGTGACAACAGGCATGATGATGCTGCGATGGCTGCGGGAGGGTCCGCAGCACTCCTGCATGAGGCAACAAGAAGGCCATCTCGCCAGCGTGGATGCTCGGGTCAGTGCATGTGGGCAGGCAACAGAGACGTCACTGCCTTGGCATGGATGCTCTGGTTGTGGCAGGCAACAAGAAGGCTACCTCGCCAGCATGGATGCTCTGGTCCACGGCCGGCAGACATTGGTTGGCAGGCAACTAGAACGCTACCTCGCCAGCATGGATACTCTGGTTGACAGACATGCCCCGTCACAGAGAGTCAGCTCGGGTTGGGGAACTCATCCAAGCCCGGACTAAGTCGCCAGCTAGACTAGAACCCTCGCTAGTTCGCAGCCCGTCCCCAAGTTCAAGTCTTCTCAGCGAAGCCACGCACTGTGCATTGTCCGCAGTGGAACATTCAGAACCCTGGGCCGAGAACCTCGGAAAACCTGGCAAGGACACGGTTGCTGGCTTGCTTCAACCAGTCATGTGTCTCAAGGTAGTCTAGGTGCCGGGTGCTGTGGTTGACCGTCACGGCGATGGGCACTGCAAACAAGTACTTCTTGTAGGCACACGTGCCGCCTGGTGTTGTCGCGAATTCCACCTGGACGTCGTACTTTCCTTGTAGCTTGTCCTGGTGCTCGGCCACGAAGTCGAGGTCGCGCACATCATCCAGGATGATGCCATCGTGTACAGTCCTGTCGAAAGCACGCATCGACTCAGGAAAGACGAGCAGGCTCCCAACCTTCAGCTCCAAGGGCTGCTTGAAGAGGGACTTGGCCCACTCGGTCTTTCCTGTGTGCGATGCACCCAAGACCACGAGCAACGGGTACCGCAAACGATCCTCTTGGAAGGTGGCCAGCCAGTCTTGGGCAAGAGGAACAACGGGGAAGCTCCGGTACACTTCCGGGTTGCTCCTCAAGCGACGCTTGTTGGACTCCATCACTTTAGCCTCTGCGACCGCGGCTTCGTGCTCCTTGACTGCATCCAGGTTTCGCTTGCGAGCCAAGACACCATCGCGAGTCAGGAACAGGTACTCTTCGTACTGCGCAGTCTCCAGCCTTCGTTGTTTCCACAAGGTCTCCGGCCATTTGCCCAGTACCTGGTAGGTCTGCGGCGCTGCCGTCCAACACGGGGCGTAGTTGCAGGCAACACAAAGGCAACCGTCTGGCAGCTGGGCCGTGCCGCATTTGTTGGCCCACACATAAAACATGCCCCGGTCTATCGATTGCTGCAGCTTCTTTTTGCAGAGGCCCTCGCCAAGGTAATCGTGCGAGCTTACATTGGGCCGCCGGCCGTCAAAGATGAAGCGGCTGGCTGGGACGTCCAGTGTTGAATTGCAGCATCAGATGCAAGTGGTGGCTTCCGGCTGCGTTGGCCTCCATCGTCGCGGTCCAGTACTTTACGGCCCACGCCGCTATGTGTTCACTGACGAAGTGGCAGAAGGCTTCCCAAGTCGCACTGCCGCCGCCAGACGGCCAGCTCTGGTAAGTCAACAGGACGGCAGTGGCATTAACACGACATGCGCGACGACTTTCCGTCAGGGCGCTGGCGTGCACGGGACCAGCAGCAGCAGCAGCTGGCCTCCTCATGGGCCTGCCTGCAGGCTGCCCTGCGCGACGAGCGTCCTGCCATGCATCTCGAGCTGTGTTCAGCCGTTGCGCATCCTGGTCAGAACCACCTTTGTCCGGATGGACGGAGCGTGCGACCTTGCGGTAGGCCGCTTGCACCGTGTCGTCCCCAGACTCTCGTGTGACATCCACATGCAGACCGTAGGCCGTTGCCAGGGTCAGCAGGATGGACACGAAAGCCCTCTTGGCCCGCTGCACTGGACTCAACGGCATGCTTGCCTGGCCATTAGCAGCGATGGGAGGAGCACTTATCCCATACACCTAGCCTCGCAAGTTGTGCATCGGGGATGTGTTTTGGAAATCACCACCGGGCCGAAAGTTTCGACATGCAGCTTATAACATACATGTCTGCCGCGGAGAGGCGGAGAGCCCCAAGACCTATTTTACGTGGCCCGCGTGGCGGAGTAATTACTTTCCGGGAATAAATTTATACTACTTTTTTGTAGTTTCCGGCGGAGAGCTTTGCGGGGTTCTGCTAGGATTCTACGCGGGAAAAGGGGTCAACATGTGATGATCTCTCAACTTCATGTTGTATGGCGAACTTTCGTCCTGCGGTAGTATGGTAGCTTAAATCCCTTTATGGTAACCCTAAACCCTAAATCTTCATCCCTAAACAGTGTGCACCCAATCTGGGTAAGCCGATCAACCTGTCTGCAGTGCGAAAGGCCCAACACACTTTCAGAATACAAAACCTATTCCCTAAACCCCAAAGCCTAAACTCTAAATCCCTTAACCCAAAGGGTTCGAGTAACCATATAGTATATTCTTTGGGGTACTAAGTACCGACTATAATGGTACTTGGACCATTTGGGTAAGAAGAGCCCAGGAGATAGCCTCGGCTCCCGGGTCTGCCACGTAATGACAGCGACAGACACCTCTCGAGCAGCTGCGAGTTTCTCTTCGGAAGAGGATGCTGTAAGTGTGACCTGGGCAATTGTGAAGAAGTTCAGGGTTTAGGGTGTCTGGGTTCTGGTTAAGAAGTTCAGGGTCTAGGGTTTAGGGTGTCTGGGTTTTTGTTGTTGAAAGAAGTTCAGTTTAAGTAAGCAGGTGAGAGATAGCACAGTAAACACTATCGACTATTGGTACCTGAATACGGTAACTTCAGTTAAATATCTTGGGGCAAGAACCCAGGTGAGTATAATCAGCTCCACTGATGAAGAGTCGCTGACGGCGCGGCCCCGAACGGTCTATATGGATATTGACACAGAGGACATGTTGATCCAGGCGGCTTCTTCCCCAGTGATGGCACTCTCGGGCTCGCCCCTGGCAGATGTGTTTCCTTCCCCCCACACAAGAATGCTGTTGGAACAACTCCGTCGTGAGGCGGAGCTCTTCAAGAGTAGGGGCGAGGAGCCTCCTGGTAGGGTTCTGAACTACGACGAGATGCCCGTGATTCTCAACCCTGGCACGGTCGACCGCATCACCGGGACCATGCAGATCACCCAGGCGAGACTCGGCGGGACCCACGTTCTCATGGCCTTCTCCCCGCTCCGTGCAAGAGCAGAGTCCGAAGGCCGGCGCAGCTCTCAGAGCTCCCAGAGATCCGCATTAGAGAAGCCCGTGGGAGCATTGTCGCTCTAGCGGCCCTGTTTCCCATAGGCGGTTTTGGGCTGATGCATTTACAACTACCTGTCAAGGGACCTCAAGACTCTGCCTTGGCATCGCCAACAAGGCGTCGGGTACAGTCGCCTGCATGATCACTTGAGCCCCGCAAAACAATCGTCATGCAGCCAAGGCTTTTTTTACGGGCGGTGTGGAGCACTGACTCAATGTGACGTTTCAGCACTTGTCGATGATTTCTCGAAGCTGGAGCTTCTAACTGGGGGTTGGAGACACCACAAAGTTTCGAACGAAGCCCGCATCTTGCCGAGGCTACGCCAGCAGAGCGTAGTGCCCTGCTGTCAAGTCAGTTCAGGGTTTACAAACCTTCAGGGCAAGGATCCTGCAGGTCCTTCTTTTTTTAAGTTTAGGAGTTTAGGGTCTAGGAGTCTAGGGGTTAGAGGTGTAGGATCCTTCGCTGTTTAGCTTTTAGGGGTTTAGGGTGTAGGGGTTTAGGGTTTAGGATCCTGCAGGTTCTTCCTTGTCAACTTGTGAAGGAATTTCATGTAGTTAGCATACTAGGGATACATAGTACCATAGTAACTAAGATGGCTTCCTTGCTATGATGGCTCAGATGAAATTCCTTAACAAGAACCCAGGGCCTTCGCAACTGCTTCTCCACGGCTAGCCTGTAAGTTTACGTTTTTTTATGTGACTTGAAGGCCTATCAGATGTTTCTGTGTTGCTTGGGTTCCTGGCCACGTCAGCGGTTCGCGAGAACCCTGAGTTTAGTGTTGATCAAACCTTTCTCGTGAGAGGTGCTTCCATGTCAGTAGGGTTCCCAATTAAGGGGACCGACTATTCATGGCAGAACGCCTTGGAACTACGATGCAAGAAAGGACCCTTTGTACAGCGTAGCTCGCCTTCTCCAGCATGTCCAAAGAAAAAAGTCCCGGTGCTCGGCCGAGCGGGTGGATGCGACTGTTTGCCAATGGCAACCGAGCGTGGGCTTCCAAGTAGGCTGACCAATCCTTCCTGAGATCTGATGATAAGCTTCATGCACAAACAATTGGGTATCGCAAGACATGTTCCAGCCAATACCACCAGCTTTAGCAACAACTCCCTCGATCTCAGGCTGTCTTAGCAATCAAATCACTGACGAAGCAGGACCCTGCTGCAAGGTGTTGGGACATGTACCGAAACTCGTGAACATAATGTGCTGTGCAGCAGTACGGATGATGACGTCGTTGCCGTTGATGATGATCATGATGATGACAGGGCCGACGATTGTAGCGGCACCGACAGCGAGGCTGCTGGGTACCAGGTCCGTCGTTAGTCTCAGAAGCTTAACACGCAGATTTGCGTTGCGACTGCAAACATCCACATCCGACTTGTGCCCCGATAGACCTCATAATTCCTAAACTCGTAAGCCCTATATAAGCCCCAAACCCTGAACCCCTGTAAACCCCAAACTCCACAACCCCAAACTTCTACACTCCAAGAACCCCAAACCCTATAAGCCCCAAGCCCCCCTAAACCCCATAAACTCTCAACCTCACCCAAAGCCTATAAGCCCCATAAATCCCTATAAACCCCTGTAAAATCCCTAAACCCCACAAATTCTCAACCTCAAGGCCTAAAAGCCCCATAAATCCCTATAAAATCCCTAAACCCCATAAACTCTCAACCTCAAAGCCTAAACGCCCTATCTATATCTATATCTATATCTATATATATATATATATATATATATCCTGAAGCTGCAAGTGAGGTTCCAGACAGCTTCTCACGGCGGAGGCCCAGGAGCTCTCGCGACGCGAGGCAGCCGGGTTTAGGGGTTTAGGGTTTAGGGTGGAGCTATCTTCGAACTCGATCTAACACAGAGGCCTTAATAATAATTAGAATAGCGTTTTGGGGGTCATTATACTTTGCTTGTAATGTTTAAGGAACCCCAAAATTGTTAAAGGGTTTAAGATGTAGTTAGTCCTGCTGCAGGACATGATGTGTCTTTAGTAATAGTTTGGGGACAGTAGTGTGAACTGCAGGTGCTTAGAGCACGTGCTGTCCTGCAACCCATCTGGAAGGCGCGAGGCAAAGCATGCGCATTAGCAGATCCATGTATCGCGCCGGGAGATGGAGTTTGCTTCGTGATCTCCTGCAGCAGGACCAAACTACATCTTAACTCCTTGAAAAATAGGGGCATTGATAGTTACCTATGCAGTTTTTGGGGGGTTCCTTTTACACCGTAGATTCTGGAAGTTTGAACCCGCGAAGCCTCGAACGGAGACCTGCTCCTGAAAGGTTTAGGGTTTACCTAGATCCCCAGAAATAAGTAGAATAATGGCACAATATGTATATAGGGCTATTATTCTACATACTTTTGGGGTCCAGGTAGGGCTCCACAAGCTTCGCTCAGTCATGCTGCATGCTTCTAGTAAGACCACTTACGACAACGAAGCAGTTGTCCTGATGGCAGTCCGAGTCATGCAGGAATAGTCGTCAGGAGTAAAGCCTAAACGCCCGAGACCCTGAGACGCCTTAAGCCCCAAGCCTCCAAGGCCTGCCTAGACTTGCTTAAACCGCCAACTTGCGAAAATCGACTCTCCCAACCACTCCCCAAACAACTAACAAAGAACAACTAGCCGCCGAGCTTCCACTCACCCCCCACGCCCCCCGCCCCTCCCCGCCCCACCCAAGGCAAAGACGATGAAAAACCTATGTTTCAGCCAAGCCTCTGCTTCTACTTTTACTTCTACTTCTGCTTTACTTCGAAGCGAACCACGAAGCACCACTACGACGACGACGACTGCGACTTCTCCTACTACTACCACCTACTACTACTACTACTACTACTACTACTACTACTACTACTACCACTACTATACCAGTACCACTACTACCACTACCACTACCACTACCACTACCACTACCACTACCACTACCACTACCACTACCACTACCACTACCACTACCACTACCACCACTACTACCACTACTACCACTACTACTACTACCACTACCACTACCACTACCACTACCATACCACTACCACTACCACTACCACTACCACTACCACTACCACTACCACTACCACTACTACTACTACTACTACTACTACTACTACTACTACTACTACTACTACTACTACTACTCCAATAGCGACAAGATCTAGTAGCGGGATTATTATTGAGTTCAAGGGATCTAATCTTGTAACTGAAGGGGGTTTATACTTGAGCTCTGCAGGTCGAGTGTTGTAATCGAGGGGGGTATAAATAGCAACTCAACATTAATGAGAACAAGAACAACAACAAAACCACAACAATGCCAATAACGACAACATATGTTTTTATGGTGATAAGATCAAAAATGGTAATAGTAACCAATGTAGAAAATCGATAGGAATACTAGCAACAATACTGAACTACAGCTTCGCTGATGGCAGGTCCTCCGTGCCTCGGAGCAGTCGCGCGAGGCGAAGGCCAAGTGACTTGATATTTGGGGTGATTGGGTGGAGGAAGTTTTGGGTTTCGCGGCTTTGGAAATGCAGTTTGGGAGTGTAGGGCTTTGGGAGTTTAGGTTTTTGTGTTTTGGGAAGTGTAGGGCTTAGGAAGTTTATGGTTATTGGAAGCTGAGGGTTTAGGATTTTTGGAAGCTTAGGGCTCAGGGTTTAGGCACTTGAGGGCTAAGGGCTTTGGGGGTCTAGGTTAGAAGGGGCCCCCACCCTGTAATAGTGGTATAATAGGAATATAATAGGGCCTTCACATAATCCTTATAGTCACTACTACAGGGTAAGGGGCCCCTTCTAAGGTCTAGGGTTTACGGGTTCAGAGGTTTGGATGTCTAGGGCTTCGGAGATAGTAGGTATTGTTCATTTGCGGATCATGGATCGAGGTGAACATGGTCTGTAAGGTCTCCTTCGGACTTTTTTTATTTTTTTCATATTTTTCCCAAGAGAATCTTGAAACATATTTTGTTTATTATGGTTCTGAGGGGGGTATAGGTCTGACTCTGCATTTCAGGATTCATTATCAGGGCTTAGGGGCTTCGGGTTTGCCTGTGGTGTGGATTTTCAGGTTGAGCCTAGAACCCAGCAAGGCATGGATGCATCGGATCTCATCCGGCTGATAGGTCTCTCATTCCGATTCATGTCACTATGGTTAGTGTTCTTATATTAATATTCGCATTGTTATTACTATTTTTTAGATAGCGGATAGCGGCTCGCGCTTTTGGTCTCTCTCTCTCTCTCTCCCTCTCTCTCTCTGGCTCTCAGTCGCTCCTTCTTTCTCTCGCCCCGTAAGCCTCGAAGCCTCAAGCCTGACCAGACCGGAGCCCCAAGCACGCATGCGGAGCAGGAGCTTGGCGATAAGCTCCTCGAAGCCTCTGGCCAAAGTAGTGCCTGGCTTACCATCGCCATAGCTTGGGGCATTGCCTTCTGCTGAATTCTCTCTGAGTTTGATACTGTTGAGACGGAGGCAAGGATTCGGTTTTGCTCTTTCGGGCAACGTTGGACAGTTGCATCTGCCAAGGTAGCATTCTGCACTTACGTATCCCAGAAGCGAATTTGTCTCAGCTGAAACCAGCTTGCCCAAACAGACATCTTCCCAACAGCACCATGCGCGAGTATGATAGGAACTGCCTGAATGGCTGTAATTAAGCTGGCCTGTTGAGCGCAATGCTGGATGATCTTGTGACTGCTGGAATAAACTACAAACGGATGTTGTGTTTCAGCTGAAGCTTCCATCCGGAATCACACGGCAGTACTAGTGGTCCTTGCATTTGTCATTGCGAGGACCAGAGGAAGTTGGAACCATTCGCATAATATTCATGATGGCCGTCAGTATCCTCAGCATCATTGTCACCACTGGTGGACCACTACCAGCTCACCACTACAATCACCGCCGCCACCGCCACTGCTACCAGCGTCAGCAGCATTGTCACAGTCCGTCATCAGCATCAACATCACCGTCATCAGCAGCAGCATCATCATCATTATCATTGTCTTCATCATCACCATCATCATCATCATCATTGTTATCATCATCAGTATCATTATCTACATCTTTATCTTTATCATCATCATTATCATTCTCCATATCTTTATCTTTACCAGCATGATTATCATCATCACCGTCAAGTACCCAACCCGGCAGCGGCAGCGGCAGTGCACCGCCAACATCAGCGCACCTCTCCATATGGGAGTTTCAGAAAATTAGGGATACTTTATTTGGGGGGGTCTTTATAATAAGGATCCTACTATATATGGTACTATATTGGGGTCCCCTATTTTCGGAAACTCCCATACCGCATATCGTTGTCAGGGCAATCGCAGTAGTCCTCATCTTCTTACAGCGAACCCTCAACCTTTTCCGCCTTAACACCCTAAACCGTGCGAGAGCGGATTTCGTAGTCTTTGGACAACCTGAACCCTATCCCTCCAAGGACCTCATAGTTCGGGCCCTAGACCCCTTAAGGACCCCATAATAAGGTCCCTGGAGGCATAGGGGAAGCTCGAGGCCATTTGGAGCCCTTGGGCCGGCGAATCGCTGCCTTGGAGGCACATCAGGGCGGTATTACTTGGAGGGTCGGGGAACTTAGTAAGTATAGGTAGTAAGTAGACTTATAAGTACCCTAAAAGGGACCCTCATTGGGGTTATGGTACTTATAAGTCCCTAAAATAACCAGTTACTAAGTCCCCCGACCCTCCAAGTAGGATGCCCAGTGCTACCCTTATTGGACTTACGTGTTTAGGGTTTAGGGGTTTAGGGTTTAGGGGCTTAGGGTTTAGGGTTTAGGGTAGGATGCCCAGTAGTACCCTTATTCGGTTTTTGTAGTCCTAGGTTCCCTATAAAGTTACCCAACACCAAAAAGGGAGCCCCTCTAGGTTACTGGGCATCCTAGGAATTAGGGCCTTGAAAGCTTTAGGAAATGGTCATCAGAACTACGATGATTACTTTAAGTCGGACCCGTTGAGAGAAGTAGGCTTTGAATTTGATGGCTTGTTCTTGGGGTGCCCTTGAGCCTGAGAATTGAGTGTGGAATGGCGTTCTACGTGATCTTCACGGGTTGAGGGTGTGGGGCCGCAAAACAAAAATACCATAGAAGCCTAAAGAGAGGAAGTAAGAGGCTCGTCATTGTAAGGACCCTTCAAAAGAGACGCAAAAGGCCCCGATAATGCTGGGACTCTGACCCTGTTCCCTGCTAGTGGATGAAAGCTCGAGACACGAGCCTTGTCAGAGAGGGGGATTAGAAGAGGTTTTCGGGGTATATCATCGCGAAATTATCAGTGCAGAGGGATGTGATTACCAAATCTCCGACATCTATATATCAGTTACCGCATTCCTCGGCCTTTACAGCTCAGACCTTGCAGAAGCCTCCAAGCCTTATTCGTTGGGTTTGCTTGGGGCTGTCTCACTCCCACACCTACACCCTCTGAGTTCTAAACCTCCTATCCAGAGACTGCAAAGTCTTTTCATCTACATTCATTGAGCTCTAGTATTGGGCCCTAAAGAATTACCAAATCCTATTTTGCGGTTCCTTATTCCAACTACGGTATGATATACCCCAAAACCCTATTCTAATTACATCGGCCCCTATAGTAGACCGGCTGACTTCACGATTCCAGGTGCTCCTCCTACAGGCGGAACGAAATCCTAAGCCTTGTCGAGACACAGTCTGCAGACGGAAATAAAAACAATTAAATCGGCCCTGGACGTGGTCGTCGAATTCCTAGTAGAGGGGCCTTACCCATTATACCATAATTGTAAAAAGGAGTCCCCCGAAATAGTATTGGTAACTATTTCGGCCCTATAGAAATAGTAGCTTCTTGGCCTCGGAACCCAGGATTCTATACATGAGCCCCCAAAAGCCTCTTTATTCAAAAGACTCGAAGGCAGATCTTGCGTCCACGGAGGCGGGTGTTTTTGGATCCAGGGCTTGTCAGGCGTTAATCCTCGGTTTTACCATGACATGATGTATATACTAATATATAGTATAAGTAAGACAATCCAATAATTACATGATGTCTTATGATTCGGCATGACACGAAAGGATGGGACATGACATAATGACAGCCGCATCTTAGCACCTCAGAGGAGCTTCAACCGCTTGTGCAAAGTAGGTCCGGGAAAGCTTGGGTTCCGGATTCCAGGGGCTTCAGATGGAAGAGCTTCGGTTCAGAAGTCAAAGCCCTGAACCCCAAAGCCCCAAATCAACAAACAGCGTGCACGTCTAGCCAGAGAGGGAGTATCATGGCCTCAAGGGCTTCGAGAGGGGCCAGAGTCGAGCTCAAGAACTATGTGTACTAGAAGTAACATAGTATTAGAAGGTAGTCTAACATAGTCATGTAGAGTGAAAACGGGCGCGTTGACGGCTGCGTGCCTTCGTTTGAGGTGCGTGACTGATCGTTTCAGGCTCTGTTGGCACATTCGGTTCTTCGGCCGAGGTGACCCTTAGCTACGTAGACGCCTTGCCCTCACTCTGTGAGCATGAAATTAGGGATTCATGTATGAACGCCCTTACAGGAGGTGGTTTGGTATTCTGAGGGCTAGATCAGAGCAGGACGAGTGTCGAGCAACGGACACCTCCAATGTGCTCCTGAAAGAAGAGGCCGGCTGTGCTCGCACGAAATGCGATGTCGGGTCTGCAGCCTTGTGGTTTATCTTCCAGCTTGACAACTCAGAAAACCCTGAAAGGCAAACACCCGGAACTGCAAACCATCATTCGAAGCTCGCGCGGTTAAGGTACTAGGGCTTCCGAGGCCCCGAAGCCCATTATAGTGAAGTATTGCTGGTAAACTACAGGTTACTCTAGGTTTTACATAATTCGGATCTTCCAACATTGTTGAATCAAGGAAACTCCTGAATCAATATTTCGGATCCTCTGGAGCTCCTCTGAGTGAAGGAAAACTGCAGGACCTTTGTAGCTGTGTGCAGTCTTTCCTCCTCTTGAATTCAGTTGAAGCCCTGACCCCAAAACCCTAAACTTATACCATGAACCCCAGACCTTAAACCGTATGCAAACCCCAGCCCTAGACCCTAAACCCTTTATTATCGTAAACGCTAACCCCAGTCGCTCCCATGGTATCGTGGTGGTCCTATGGAGGTGCAATCTGCCCAGATGGAAGCTGAGGTGCAAAAGAGGCACGGGCCTGTCTGCTGGCAGCCGAATTTCGGGGCCTTATTGATTACCTATATTAGTGTGGCGGTTCCTTATAATCATAGTATACTGGGCCCCGAAATCCTGTTCTAATTATTAAGGCCACTACGGTAGAGGGTGGTCATAGAGGCTCTGTGTGTTTCCTTGTGTGTTTGCATGCAAGGGCTTCGGAATATTTAGGAGTAATGTCCCTGTCTAAGCATATGTAGTTAATGAGCATATACCAGTTTAATGTACTACCAGAACCGTATTTCGTGTATATGTACGCATAAATGCTCACGTATGCGTTTGCTACGCGTAGCATTTGTACATACACGTACTCTCGTGCACTATAGTATTTGTTAACTATACCTGCGCACACTTACACACCTTGCCACGCTGTTAGCTATGCAGAACATGAGAGGAGAGAGAGAGAGAGAGAGAGAGAGAGAGAGAGAGAGAGAGAAACAGAGAGAGCGGGAGAGAGAGACAGAGAGACAGAGAGTGTGTGTGAGACGTTGAAAGACAGACAGACAGACAGACAGACAGACAAAGCGGAATCTAACTAAACCTCCCACACGCCAAGAAGCTGCCAAGACTTCAATCAGAAAGTTTTCTGGCGCCTGCAACACACAGCATACCAAGTAGCAGCAACAATATCAAGAACAACAACCACTAGCGCCACCCCAACAATCACCATCACCAGCAGCACTACCTACCACCACCGACAACAACAACAACAACAACAGCAACAACAGCAACAACAACAGCAGCAGCAGCACCAGCCAGCAGACAAGCAGACATACAAACAACAGCAAGAAAGCATAGCGAACGAATAGGTGCAATAAGCAATGACAGTGCCATTCCAAAACCCATCCATCAAGCTTCAAGCAACGACTTTGCAAAGGAGAAAACCCCCAAAGCACCAATGGCCGTGCTATGGAAAAGGCGCCTCGCAACCCAGCGGCAGGAACTTCAGGGTGCCCGGGGCTCGGATCACTCCTACAGTTTCCTTAGGAATTGTTTATAAAACCCAAGAGAATATTAAACATACTATTGTTATATCATTATGGTTCTAAGGGGGTATAGACTCGGAGAACAGCTACCATAGTAGATATTACAGTATGTTAGAGAAGTTCGTTATCTAGTGTACTGTATTACCGTTATTACGATAAAGCTCGCTACTAGTTTGGTACAGCATGTGCTAGTATTTTATAGTATAACATATTTGGGTACATCATGGTATATTATTGGTCGAGGTTCGGTTAAAGGCTCGAGTTTAGGGCTTGTTGTGGTAACTACCAAAAAGTTATTGTAAGGGCAAGGTCAGTGGTTCTCTGGGATGTAGAAGGGACTGTTTGCTGCATGTTTCGTATCGAGAGTTTAGGGCTTCTAGCTGGTTGATTTCGGTGGACATCCCGGTTCCTCCAAAGGAGCTTCTTCTGCCCCTGAGGCCCTCTCTTCCCACCATGGGACTTTCCGCCAAGTGTCCGTATAAACCTCTTGAAGGCTTGATTGGCGGACGTCGGCTGCAGGGGTTTGGAGTTCGGATGACTTTCTGATCCGTTTGGGTGTTGATTGGCGATTTGGGAGTTTCCGAAAATCATCAGGGGCACCTTATATCTTGGGGTCCTTATAATGAGGATCCTACTCTCTAGGGTACTAAATTGGGGTTCCCCATTTTCGGAAACTCCCATTTATTGCCCGGGCAGACTCCGAGGGAGATCTAGAGCAAGCAGCAGTGCAGGAAGCAACTGGGGTTGTAGATTGGGTACTGCCCCCACTCAGTAACAGTTGGATGAAATTCATAATATAGATATACTACGGTTGATGATATATATCCTGCATTACCTTAAGGGCCCTAAACTATAGGAATTATGGTATATTCCTTATTATCCAGCTCAAGCCTCAAACCCGCGGCCTTCCGAAGATCCGATGTAATATAGAGGCCTGAATAAGTACCTATACTATTTCGGGGGGGGGGGTCCCTGTTATAGTGGGCCCCAAAACCCTATTCTGATTATTAAGGCTCCTATAGTAAGGCTTAAGGCGGGGCAGGTAGCTAGCTGCTCAAAGCAGATCTTCTTTCAAGAAGCACGGTTGGTTAGTTGACACGTCCGTTTGTGTTCCACTTTAGCATGCACCTCTCATATTTAATATGAAGCGGAGCTACTACCATGTGCATACAAGCTGCCCCCCGCCCCGCTGCCCACTGTCAAGTGTTTTTGCTGGGCCGCTGAGGACCTGCAAAGTGGTGCGCAGCTGCAGCACAGGTGCCAGATGGAAGCTCTGAGTCATGGAAGCCTCGCAGGTTTGGGCTTCGAATACGAAAGTCTCAGAAAGTATGCGGTCTCTACATGGGACTGGACAGCAGGATACTTCATGCAAGGCCTGAGACTCAGGAAACCCCCATCTCAGCCACCTCAGCTGCAGTGACTTCTTTTTAAGTCATGGAAACACCAGCAATTGCGAGAGTAATCTTCCTGCAAACCCGAAGCCCTAAACCCCCCGGAGCAGGAAGCCCGTAAACCTCAGGTTCTATCAGCCCGATACCTGAATAGACCGATACAAACACCGAACACATAAAAAAACGCACTCATGTCGTAGCTCGGCAGGTCTCAAACAGCGGGTGCTCAACTCCAATTTCTGACAGCGTCCTTGTCCGGACCTGTGCGGCAGAGGTTTTCTGCAGGGTTCTAGCATTTAGAGTAGCTTCTCCGTCGCATTCACATCTTGGTACGAGGTGGAGGCTTGCAGCTCGGTCTGCCGAGATTAAGGAGTTGTGCGGATATCTGGACCGATCCTCCCCACCTACCTGCGGGGACTGTTTGTGACATCGTCAGACTTCAGGCTGCGCATGGAGTGTATTCGCTGTTTGCTACTCAAACAGAAGTTCTACTTCGACGACGTGGCTGAGTGCATGAGACTGAGAGAGTGAGAGTTTGCATGCGTTCAGTTCAGAGGTGCTGCATGTACAGCATTGCCTACAGCTGCCTAGACTTCAGAGACGTTTTGCTGCATGTACGAGTTGATAGTAACCGAGACACTATAAACTAGACAATGGCAACTTCCAACTCCCTCACTTACCTTAGCCATTAGCAATTGTCACCAGCGAGGGCGACTTTAGCGTCATCGATGAGCACGACTGCATGATGCGTGTGCATATATACATACATATATATATATATATACAGAGATGTTCAGGTATGTAAGTATGTATGTTGGTCTGCATGTAGAATTGTGTGTTGGTCAACTGGTGCAGATTTGTATCTATGTGTTGTGTACTTCCATAGATAGTCAGATCGATAGATACATAGGTAGTTAGATAGTTATGTATAGAGAGAGATAGATGGATAGATAGCTACATAGAGATAGAGAGAGAGAGAGAGAGAGGAAAAACAAACAAAGACGCAGGGGCGGAAGAGAGAGAGAGAGAGAGAGAGATATATATATATATATATAATAACAACCCAGCGGAAGCAATCTTCATCTTTATCTCGTTTATCTCTATCCACATCCACGTTGATATCAATCTCCACGGCTATAGCATATTTTCCTATCCATCTACATACCTATATCTAGACCTACTTAACCCCACTCGTTTGTAGGTTCCGATTATAAACCCCAATATAGGATTCGTAGGGACCCTACAAAAAATAGGGTCTGGTAGGTTAAGGTACGGTTAATGATATAAATCCTGCATTACCCATAATAAGGAATATATCAAGATTCCCATAGTTTAGGGTCCTTAAGGTAATGCAGGATTTAGATCATCAATCCTCAACCCTAAAACCCTATAGATCCCTTGAAGGAGCCCCTTAAAGGCACCCTTGTAGATGCAGGATTTATATGGGGGTTTCCGAAAATAGGAAAATAGTACCTTAAGTAGTTCAGGTATCTCGAGCCCAGAGAAAAGGGCGAGGGGAGATTCTCAGGCCCAGTCTTTCGGCCGAGCAGAAGTTGCTGGCAGCGCGCCTCCAGGACCCTTTAAAGGGATCTATTTTGGAAGGGCCCCCACCCTGTAATAGTGTCTATTAGGGCCCTATTATATTCCTATTATACCACTATTACAGGGTGGGGGCCCCTTCTAAGATCTATTAGGATCTAGAAGAGGTCCTTAAAGGGATTTATAAGGGTTCTATAAAGGATGTAGGGTTTAGGGATAGATCCCTAAAGTTCCCTAGTAGTAGAATAGGTAACCTTTAGCCTTTTTTGGGGTAGTCTAGTCCCAATATATAATCCCTATATAACCAAGAATCTTAACCTTCAGTTCCCCATAATACCCGACAAGTAGGGTTCTGGGCTTGGGGCGAGGTTTTAGGGCCTTCTCTTTTCAGGGCTTCGGGGCTTTAGGGTTTAGGGTTCTGTGGGGCTTTGGGGCTTAAGGGTTTTTGCTGTATGGTTTTAGGGTTTAGGGTTTAGCGCTTTAAGTCCGGAGGATTGGCTTTGGGGTTTTAAGCTCTCGTGGGGTGTAAGGATGTTGGCACCAGAGGTGATGAAGGGCTCGCTGTATCATAATTAATGTGTCCTACACAAGTTTTGCACATTCATAAAGGCATCAGCATGTGAAAATCATAAAGGCCATGTGTATGACTTTCCGGCACAAAAACCTTACACCATCTCATGCTCTGCCAACGCCCAGCCGATTTGGCAGCTGACCTCGAGGTTCCTGCAGCAGGCATGGCATAATATAGAGGCCTTAGTGATTACCTATACCATTGTGGGGGTCAACAGGGTTCTTTACTACGATATTATAGTGCAACATACCCATTACGGCCCCTGTTTTCGGAGCTGAGAGCAAGGAAAGCGCTTCCCCCCTGCGATGGTGCGGTTCGGGCTCAGAACTGTACGAAACATAACAATGCGGTCCTGTAGCAGCCTCCAACTGTGATGCAAGGGCCTGAATAGTTAGAATTGGAGTTTTGGACTCCTTTATAGTACAGTTCGAATTATTTAGGCGTTTATAACTGATTTCGTTGATGGCTGTCGCACAGAACAAACCACACCGGAAACCACCAAAGCCTCACACCCTGCGTCCAAAAATCCAAGTTCTTACACCCCAAACCCGAAGACCCCAACTAAAGCAGAATCTGCTGGCCCTAAACTTCAGCATCTCCAATTCCCAAAACCAGAACCCCTAAATCCTAAAACCCATTTTCCTACGCATTTTCTGGCTTTTTGTCAGCGACGCCATGGCGCGCGCTTGGAGGCGCCTCGTCGCGGCCCCGCAGGCTCTACTCGTGCCTTGGCACCAGAAATTACTTAAAGGATCATGGGACTTAGTAAGTAGGTTATAATTGCGGGTTATAAGTCCCCTAAGTGTCGTTACCCTAATTATAACCTACTTATAACCTTACTTACTAGGTCTCATGAGCCTTCAAGTACGGTGGGTGCCAGGACCCCATCAAGTGCGCGAAAGATACAACCCGATCCCTAACAGTGGGTACTTCAAGTATATTAGAGGGTAGTTGAGGGGTCTAGGTGGTAAGGGGGCTTGAGAGGTAAGCTTAGGGTTTGGGGTTTCATGTAGGGGTTTGGGGATTTGGGGTTTGCGGTTGAGAGTGCTTTGTCATTTTGGACTTCGGGGGTTGAGAGATATTGCTCTTCGCTACTTCAGAGTATTGTGATTCTGCTCCTGTGCTCCTTTCCCGAGATGTCCAGCGACAGGAGTGCTACTATCGTTCAACTGCATCAAACCTGCGATTCCGCCATTTCAATGCCGGCGTCATGCGAAGTGATCATTAACTCTTTTGGCCAATCACGGCCAGCAGTGCGAATCCTGCGGCAGGTTGGACGAATAGGCCATAACGTGGATGGCCCACGCCACAGGCTCTTTGATCAGAAGAGCTTCGAGGACATGACCACGATCTTCACACGGAATGTTCTATAGGGGCCTCACTGGTTGCCTATACTGTTTTGGGGGCTCCTTATTGCAACTATGGTATACAGGGCCCCCAAAACCGTGTGCTATTTATTAAGGCCCCTATAGTATTCGTGCATGATTCGGAGAAGTTTGGAGGAGCCCAGACTCCGAATCCCGGTTCACAAACAGCTTGAAGCCCAGCGTGGGGGCGCCATTAGGCATGCAGCACATGCGAGTTTCCGAAAATAGGGGACCCTGATAAACCCCATATATGTAGTAGGAACCTTATTATAAGGACACCCCCCCCGGTTTTCGGAAACCCTCATAAAAACCCCCTGCGCCTCGTAAGTCCCAGTCTCTATATCTGAACCCTGCGCCCGACTACACATGCTGGTCACGCTTGCCGAAACAGAAAGCCCCTAAACTTTCAAGCCGATGTTTTCGAGGAGCTCTTGATATGGACAAACACAGGAATTTCCCCCTTAAAGAAGTCTTATATAAATAACCTAATTGTCCCCCTTAAAGACGTCTTACATGACTTGTTTGGTGAAGTCTCAAGGCCGCGCCAGCTGTCTCAGTGAGCGCCCTCGGACTGAAGCCGAGTTTTTGCAGCTCCCGTGACAAGGCGAAGGCAGTGCCCAGGCCTTCTTAAAGTCTCGAAAGTTTTAGGGCTTCGGGTTTAGGGTTTAGGGCTTTGGGGGTTTGCGTGTTTCAGGGTTTTGCGGGTTGGGGCCCTGGTTTGGAAGGGCTGCGCGGCTTGATGATTTAAGGGATTGTCTCGGGCTCGAAGAGTTTAGGGCTTCTGCCTAGTGTGATCTTGCACCAGTGTTTCGGCTCGTTTCGGGATTTGTGTTTGCTTCTGGTGGCTTGGGAGGTGTTTGGAGAGTTCTGAAGGGCTTCGTGGACCTGGTCTTTGCAAAAAACCAGGGACTATCGTCCCAAGGCGGGGGAAGTCATGTTTCAACAAGTTTTGTTTTTGCTTTGGTTCTTTTCTTGCCCACGTGAGTCTTACACTTATGTAAGATAATATATTCCTTGCACTATAAAGTGTGGTTGCCTCTTAGACATCTGAAGGTGCGTTTTGCGGAACATCCATCTCTTCCCGTTGTTGACCCCTCCAACAGTGACTGTGTGGCCAAGCTGCCTTCCGTTCTTCTATGTGTGCACCGCCTAGTAGTTGAGTAGGTAACCTTTAACCTTTTTTGGGTAGTATAGTCCCTATATAGTCTCTACATAACCAAAAAGGTTAACCCTTAGTTCCCGATGATACCCGACAAGTAGGACTGGCACAAAGTCCAAAAGCACCAAAGCACTGGCCAATCTTGCGGCTGCCAGAAGGCCCCATTAACAACCCTTCCCTGACCTGGACCCTCAAAACAGCCGGAAACCCGAAATTTCTGATCTAGATGTCTGAATCACTAGTCGGTAATACTGTTACTCCCTTGGCAAGTATGTTCGAATATCCTCAGTATTCAGGCCCTATTTAAAGGATCATTGGACTTGATAACTAGGGTTATAATTAGGCTAACTATACTTGTAGCTACTTGTAACCGCAATTTAGGTATTTATAAGCTTATTTGCTAAGTCCCATGATCCTCCAAGTATGTTTGCCTTCAAAGCTAAACGACATCTTGTTGCTTTTAGGTATCCGACAAGCAAGCAGCTGCCCGGCCGGGTTTTGGGCGGACAGGGGGTTGAGGCTTGAAGTTCAGGGTTTTTTGAGGGTTTAGGGTCAAGGGTGTAGGGTTTAAGAGTTTACGGGCCAGGGCTTATGGTTTGTCGGGGGCACTTGCTAAACATCCCTGAAAGTCTGAAACCGTAGATCCTTCAAAATGTACATGAGTTAACTCTCCGGCTCGGTTGATTGGGTTGGGTCTCCCGTATCTCAAGAACTTCCGTATTAGAGCCGATTGTGCGAACCGATCAAAACACGTATAGAGGTTGCGGTAGTCTACTCTAGGGTTTATATAGGACATGGAGTCTTTGTCTGTGCAGCTTGCGGTAGTCTAATCTAGGGTTTATATAGGACGTGGAGTCTCTGTTTGTGCATTGACCTAAACTTTCGATCCTGAACAGCTGTGACGAGGGTGTGTGTACTCATGAGTGACCTACCTAACAGTCAGCCATTCTAGTATGTATCATGGTTTACGTATTCTAGCTGGTTCTTGCTCATCCTTATTAATATTATTCGAATTGTTATTCCTCGGTCATTATGATTGGTTATAGTATGTTCTATAGTAATAACCCTAAACCCTAAACCGTAGACTCTAGGGTCTCTATTATGATCACCTGGAGCATGGGATGCTAAAGAAGGGCCGAAGCTTGCCCTGGCACCCACGCCTAAGCCCCGCAGCCCCAGTCCCCACCCAGAAAGCCCAATACCCCTTAATTAAGGAATATGGCTTAAATCATATAGGGCTTCATATTATGATTTAGGCTATATTGCTTAATTAAGGGGTATTGGGCTCTCTGGGCATGCACTACGAAACCCACAGGCAAAACGCAGGCGCGCCTAAGTCTTCTACTTGGAGGTTCTTGGGTAGTTTATAACTAGGGTAGCCATATTTATAAACCATGCTAGGGGACTTATAGCTCCACTTTTAACCAATTACCCATGAACCTCCAAGTGGCCCATTCCCTATACTCCTCAACTCTGAGCCTCGACCCTAAAGTCCTAAAACTCATCACACCAGAAACTTAGATAGTGAACAGGGGAACTTTAAACTTTTTGGCCTTATATATTATCTTTGTTTTCGAAAGTTTGAACTTGTTGGGGCCCGGTTGTTGAAGAGGAGAGGAAACCATCCTACACCCCAAAATGTGTCATCGCGAGAACGAGGCTTTCTGGATTTCCGGGACATCGCAGGGCTGCACGAAGACACTGCCTTGCAGATTTGACCACTACGGCTCGGAGCTTACAAGGGCTTCGAGATTCAGAGTTTAGGGGCTAGAGGTGAGAAGTGGGCCATAAGGCTAGTGGTGCAAGCTCTCAGAAGTGGGTGATAAGGCTGCTGGTAGAGGGATTGCGGCTGTAACTAGGGTTGAAGGATCTATGGCGTTACGGTGAGTGCTAGGAGCTAGGATGTGGGCTTGTGATCGCGGCATGAAGCTTCCAAGG